CCGCTTAGACTATATATAGCATGACCATGAATACGATTTTACATAATTTTTCAAAATTTTAATTTTAATTAGAATAAGTATAATATCAATATATAAATATAAAAAGGTACACTGTTAAATAATGGTAATAAAAAAATACAGAGTTATAAGGGACAGAATATATATATATAGAAAAAAATGTTTTATTATAACAAGGAAAATACTGAAATTATTCCGATTTGTTCATAAAATATCTTAAAATTTCCTATCTATGAATAAAAATCTGTTTACAGTAATTAATTAAACAAATACGACAGAAATTAACGTTTATTTTTATTTTTATTATTATTATTATTAGTTTTTTTTTTAATTAAACAAATACGACAGAAATTAACGTTTATTTTTATTTTTATTATTATTATTATTAGTTGTTTTTTTTTTTTTTTTGTTTTTTTTTTTTTTTTTTTTTTTTTTTAACATATATCTAGCACATTTCAGTAAAATTCTAACAAAATGACCATCATATGTCTTTCAAAATTTCTTAATTGGTCTATTTCACTTCTGAATAATTAATAAGACTGGTGGTTATCAAATCACAAAACAGATCCACTAAAATATAAAATATGATTTTTCTAGTCATAAAAAGATATTCATTAGAGATTAAAAACCATGCTATGTAGCTATAATATTAAATGCAATTTCATGTAGTTTCTATAAAGACTTCTTCTTCTCTAGGATAGCTTAAAAATGGTCATGACCATCCAGACCTCTAAAGAATAATTGAATCTAGAATGTTCTACTCAAATAAAAAAAACACAAAGTTGAAATATTTAAAAAAAAAACATCAACATATATTTACTAGTATTTCAGTATTTCTTTTTTTTCAAAACTTATTTTGCAACGCTCACTTTACCAGTATCTAAGTTTCTTTACTTTTTTAAAATTCATATAAACCATATTTCATATCTCCGTGATATATAATCATATAAATATCAAATAATAAAATGGATTACGAAAGAAGTTGGAAAACATGGCAATCCGTCTCTTTGTAATTTGTTTTGTAATGTAAAGTTATGATAAACTCTTAGTAGACAGTACTTTATAATATAAAGTAGATACAGTTATAAACATTGTCAAATTACAATAAAGTTTGAACTAATAACGATTTAATTCAGAAAACAATTAACAGAAAACAATAGAAATAACTTTGAAACTTCAAAAGAGAATGTATTGAAATTGAATGCCACTTAAAAACCAAACAAACAAAACCAAAAAAAAAGCAAAAAAGGCAAACAAAAAGAAAAAAGTTAACAGTTTTATATTCATAAAGCTGCATTAACAGAAAATTCTGAAGAATATGAAAAGACAGAAAAATTCCAATAGTGCTGAAGAAAAACTATCGCTTGCTACACGTACTTACCGACATGCCTACATAAATATATAAAGATTGTGAAATATTGATTCATACAAACCTTTTGATACTACAATAAAAATTCTAAATAAAAAACAAAATTTCAGTAATTAACAAAAAATGAAATGTGAAGATGTGAAAGATAACGAGTAATCATTCTTAAAAGTCCATTTAAACAATACAAATTATGAGCAGAGCCAACACGAACATGTTCCTCTGAAAATAGAGGTGGTATTAGGTGCCATGAAGGAGTAATCATTACCTGATGACCTGTCACACTACCCGTGTGCTCTTTGTCATCATTGGGTAATTGGAAAACCCCTTGACAATTTCAGTTTGAAAATAATGGCCTAACAATTTGTATGAAAAACGTCAGTCAACATTTGACATAACGAGATGTTGTATTTGCAAACAAGGCCAATGTATCGACTATAGATTTGCGAAATGTTGTTTTGTATCCTTGTATTATCAACTTATTTGTAAATAGTTTTTCTCGTTTTAGAAATTGTTCTTGTGTGTCGAAGAAACTTTGAGACATAAACTTTATATGTAGGTATTAATAGTATATTGCTTCATAAGTAAGGGAAGTTGACGATAGAAAAGTTTAAGTCACTTTGCCATCAATGTCCTTCCCTAGTAAAACACCCAAATATGAAACAGATATGTCAGACTGTGAGATGTCTTTTTTTTTTAGTTCAATAGGATATTTCGAACCAACTGAGAAACTCAAGCATCTTTTTATTCTCAACATCGGAGTATATTGTGTGTAGAATCAGAATGTGTTTTAACAAAATAAGTCATTTGACCAATGACAAGGTATGCAAATGTTCCATTTTTATTGAAGAAGCAGTTGCTGCCTATCATGTCAAAGAGTCTATTCTTTAATTTATCGTGGGGAATGGTTGTATTAAGTGTTGAAAAAAAACGAACGTTTTTATACTATTGATTTTGGTAAACTTGAATGTTTTCAAATGTTTTAAAACTTTAAACATTCTTCTTAATCATGCTGAAAATATGTTGGCCATGGAGGAATCAATTATTAAAAAAAATAAAGAAGCAAATAATTTTCCTTTTATTATCTTCTGATTTCAAATTCCATTGCTGCTTTCATAATATGATTAAAAAAGAAAAAAAATCAAAAGGTACACAATGAATATCAAAAGTATTTTGTATATAAGATACCCGGAGTTCATAAGATCAAAAATCTATGCGAATCAGTGATTTTGTTTGTTTGTGTTTTTTGTTTTTTGTTTTTTTTTTTTTTTTTTTTTTGTTTGTTTGTTTGGTTGATTTTTTTTTTTTTTTTTGGTTTTCTTTTTTTTTTTTTTGGTTTTTGTTTTTTTGTTGTTGTTTTTTTTTTTTTGTTTAACGTCCCTTTCGAGAATTTTTCCCTCATATGGAGACGCCACCACTTGCCGGTGAAGAGCTGCAAATTTTGACCCATACTCGGTACTTAGGGCCATTGAGCAATGAGGGATCTTTTTCGTGCCAGCACCTACTGCGACACGGGACCTCGGTTTATACGGTCTCGTCCGAAGGACCGGAATTTTGTTTGTAAGAAAAAGGATAGGGGAAAAAAGATATGTAGGTCTTTTGAATATACCATCCTTTGCATTGATTACATGTTTTTTAATTGTTATGTATCCAAAATTTTATTTGTACTATATACATGTATTTAACGTTTAACTTCATGCATCAGCTATCAAATTTAGTAAACAAAAAAACTCTGACAGTCAAACTTGAATCTGAAAATAAAGAGGGAGATAGCAAACGACTTTAAACTTCTCTGTCTGTTCAAAACTAGGATATAAATTAGATGATAAATGTAAAAGCTTGAACTGTAAGTTCTTCCGATGGGTTAGAGATATAAGCAATGTTTTGGGGGAAGTGAAACCTTTTAGTTCGAAGGTTAAATCATGATTGGAATTACTTGGACAAAAAATTGTTTCAGTGAAATTTATATTTAAAAAATAATAATGTGCGTGTGTGTTCATGTGGTGTGTGAAGGGGGGTAATGAATCGATCTTGTTAATTAGTATTAGTTGAATGATGTCTTGTTCAAGCCCATGTTAAGCCCACGACAAACTCTGATAGTTGGTTGTTTTCAAAGCGAAAAATTTGTCTTTAAATCTGGATTCTTCACCATGCATTCACCCCAAAGCTAGAAATATGTATCTCAATGAGTGTGAATGCAATATAAAATAGAGGAAAAGAAAAGAAACCGACAGTTACGTCTGTTATTTATCACAATATAGTGAATATACATTGTTTTTTACTAAAAAAAAATATATATATATAATTTTGCACGATTTCTCATATTTCTATATATTTGAATATAACTTATTCAAATTAAGTATGGTGGTAAAAAAAATGATGTGCAGTTCATAATGAACGTATATGCATTTTCTAACATCTTTTAATTTTTTTTTTTTACTTTTTTATTATTATTATTATTTTTTGTAATCTTCAATAAAGTACATGTAAAGTACTTTTGAAACAGAAACGCAATTCACAAAAAGAAAAACTTTATAATGTCAAATACAAAAGTCAAAACCTTTCAATTGCATTTAAATATTCTGCAATTCAAGAAGAGATGACGGCAATTCAAAGTGCATCTGCTCTATTTTTCTTTGTAAATATGAAAAAAATAAGAGTGCGATGTCTTATTTTAAGACCCCGTATTATAAACTATTAATAACACTTCAGTTGTTTCTTTTACGTTCTGACAACTCTTGTCAAAGTGAGTACAAAAAACAATCAAAAAACACAATGACTCTTTTCAGAAGGTCATCATGGACGATCACAGGAAAACCCGAATATAGAGGGTCGGGGTACTAGCATAGACGAGAAAAAAGTAGATCAATCGATTTAAACAAATGAAGAAAGAATAAAACAAATATCCGCACAGCCGAGTCGTGAGTGTTAACGGGTGCAGGTTGATGTAATCCGAGTCAAAGGACAGGGGTTTTCTATGTCAGTGTGTGTTCCCCCTATCTTTCCACTATTGTCGTGACTCACAATTTATATGGATTTACCATCTACCTTAAAATAGATGTAATTTAACCACAGGTACCTGTCATTTTGTTTACAGATGTGTGTGAAGTCTAGAAGCATCAGTCAGGATTTTGCAAAGGTAAAATCTGCAGAGAGCAACTTAGTGACTCAATACTGGAAATTAAAAATCTGACGAACTTGCAGAAATACGGCTCACTACATACCAGTTGCAAGTTTAATTTTATTTTGATTTTGGAAAATGCATTTTCCCCCTTATTTATATCATTTTTTACTTATTTCTGCAATCCTCTATTTAAATGTCAATTTTTAATTTATGATTTATTTTGATAAACATCTTTGACATTCGTTCTCTGTATAGGAATCTTATTTCTTTAACGTCACATTTTGTTGCACTATCATATGATAATCTTTTATAATTGATAAAAAGTATTACATCTGATATAGGATTTTACATCCTTTATGCTTTTTTTTTCATATGTAAATATGTTAACAACATTCATGTAGAAGCTTTTAAATAACAGTATCTCATGACGTAAGTATGAAAAAAATGGTTCAGAATTAAGCGTAATCAAAACTCATTTCAGAATGGGATAAAAGTTGCTTATATGAAGCCCAGTAACTTTCTCCGGCACAAATCAATGGAATCCGAAGTGCAATTTGAAAGGTATCATACCATTAAGCATCAGGGAACAATGCTTGACCAAGGTTACAATGCAACAGGTTCATGGATGAGAAAACAGCTTCTCCTCGAAGAAAATCCCTCAGAGAAGGATGACCAGGACACTTATTTCTTCACTAGTTATAGTGAAGTATCATGTCCTGAAGCAGTTGTCGATTCCTCCACGACATTGTCAGATATTATGGACTGTATTAACAGCGACAACAGGTACACCCACAGGAAAGGTATACTGCTCCTGTTAATGTGTGTTTACAACGGTCATGTAATTAAAGAAGTATTTGCTTAATTGTTTTAATCAGATAAAAAAGAAAAATATAAACATGCATTTAATATAAAATACTTTGCAACATGACCTGTATTTGTATTTTCTTGATTATGCACTAGCCATGTTGCATAAAATTAATAATGGTTAGGAAAGTTGATGCATTAATTGAAGATTTTGTTGTTGTTTTTTTCAAGGCGAGATTGTACAAAATGTGTTCAGAGATTGAGCATTTTATAATTTTCATATATCAGTTTTAAACCATCCTGACTCACGATTTTATAGCTGACTAGCTATTTCTTTACTTTAAATATTTACAAAATATTTATACTTTTTGTACTTTTGATCGATTTACCTTCAAGTAATGTTTAGTCCCTTATAAAACAAAATAATGAAATATAAACACTTCAATTCAGACAGTTTAGCTGTGGATAATTCTTTAATACGGACAGAAGACGATCTCCGCTATATTGCAACAATATTGTCTGGTAAGTGTACCACATTTCACAAAGGATTATTTACAGGTGTTGTGGTCTGACAGAATGATTGACTCAGATTGTCTAAATTAGCATACTCTATTTTCTTCCCTTTTAAGTATACTTTGTGTTTTTTTTCTTTCAAACATATATTTGGAATTCAGCTGATTCAGATTTTCAATTTAATTTTCATTTTTTTTTTCTAAAATGCGATTATATTCTTACGTTAACTCAAGTTTGACAGATAATGTGTGGCAGTTTGAAAGCTTTAAGATCGTTATCATCTTTCCTGACAACAATGCATCAGTGGTTGAAGATTACTTATCTTTGTATCAAACTTTCAGGAGGTGGACAGGTTCAGCTATGGCAATTTTTGCTGGAACTGCTAATCGACACATCCAATAATAATTGTATTCGTTGGGAGGACTTAAGCGGGGAGTTCCGAATAGTCGATCCAGAAGAAGTTGCCCGAAAATGGGGTCGTCGTAAAAATAAGCCAAACATGAACTATGACAAACTGTCTCGAGCACTGAGATATTATTATGATAAGATGATCCTAAATAAAGTACAAGGAAAGCGGTATACCTACAAATTCAATTTCAGAATCATGATACAAAACCTTAAGTCCAGCTCTTCCAGATCGTCCGAGGAGAACATACTGCCATATTCCCAGCATTGCTCCGTGTCGGCAGCCTCTCTTTTCAGTGTGCCACAAATTAACAGCCAGCATTCTGATCCAGATTCGGGAAGCTTTGGACATTTAGAAAGCACCCGACACCACCAGCTGTCATTATCTTATCCATATTCATTTCAGTGTCCTCCGTATAACTAAACCAAATACACAAACAAACTGTATAGACAAAATTATGCTGCTTTGTTGCAAAAAGAAATGTATATTTTTTTTGCAACTATTGTTAATACTTCTATATGTTCACTTAATTTTGTTCAAGATCTCATTAGCTTTCAGACAAATGATTCTGAATAAAATATCTTTTTTAAAAATATTTATTTCATCTTGAATTCACAAATCACTTGTCTTTTTTGGTTTCACATTCCTTTTTATAGCTATTCTTTTTGGAATTTTATTATTTTTAATGCATATTCTTCTTAATTCAAAATCATCCTTAATTTAAATTAACTTATTGCTAAACTCTGAAGGTTTTATATATTAACCTCTGAAGGTTATAAAATATTATAAACAAAACTTTAAACAATTTTAATATACGTTTTTCCTCTCAAGTGCTACAGTAAGGGCATATGTATTCTAAACTAGATGTAAATGCATAAATCAATGACATTTTTTAATATTAGTTAAAACTGCTTATTTTCATTCATACAACCCACTGACCTCGTAGTGAAAGACACTGCACAGAGGCTGACACATCATGAACTTAAACAACATAAACTTCATGATGAACGTGATGAAAATTTTCTCTATCATAAACAATGGCAAGTCCAACGTTGCAATATTCGATCTTTTCCATTTGAATTGTAAAATTTTCCATTGTATAATTTTTATTTGTATTCTATAATTTTCCATTTGTATTCTATAATTTTCCATTTGAATTGTATAGTTTTTTATTTGTATTCTATATTTTCTATTTGTATTGTAAAAAAAATCATTTGAATTGTATAATTTTTCATTTGCATTCTATATTTTCAATTTGCAATGTATAATTTCTTATTTGTATTGTGTACATTTTTATTTGTATTCGATAATTTCTCCTTTGTATTGTATCTGAAAATTGTTTATTTTGTTGCAAAGGATTGCATTGGTCAATATTTAGTCTATCATCTTCGCTAGCCAAGGGTGACGATCCGCTCCTCTCCTCTTTTCAGAGGAGCGGATCGTCATCCTTGGCTAGCGAAGATGGGCTACTATATGCTTTTGCGTGCATGCTAAGGATGGCCATTTAGATGAAAAGGGAGCGCTGGCAGATGGCAAAAAATAATCATCTTGACTGGTGAAACCTCAACCACCCCCCACCCCAGCCCACTACACACCCCACCCCTAAGAAATGGAGTTTTTGGGTTTGGGCAGATTTTCTTCTTCTTCTCCTTGTCCCTGGTCATCTTGGACATAAATACTTTCTCCTGCAAGAGCATGAAAATAAATAATCTGATTCGACAAAATTTGACAGCCCCCCCCCCTTTAGAATTAAATGACCGTCCCTTAACATCCAAGCAAATAGAGGAGCCCAGTTCACCTGAAACATCTCGCTTGTTTGAACACTATACTACAAAAAAAAAATAAAACTTGACCAATGAAATCCTTCGTAACGAAAAAAATAAGCAATAAAAAAAGAATAAAAAATAAGAATACAAATAAGAAATTATACAATGCAAACAATAAATTATACAAAACAAATGGGAAATATAGAATACAAATTAAAAATTATACAATCCAAATGATTTTTTACAATACAAATGGAAACTATAGAATACAAATAAATGTTATACAATCCAAATGGAAAATAATAGAATGCAAATGGAAAATTATACAATCCAAATAAAAATTATACAATACAAATGAAAAATTATACAATACAAATGTCAAATTTTACAATACAAATGGAAAAGATAGAATATTACAACGTGTGATATGCCATTATAAACTTCCATTGTTTATGTAGCAATATGCCATGATCACCTGCATATGGTGTTTTGTTTTCCAGTTGATTCGATACGGAAGAAAAAATGTTCTTTATTCGGTTCGGTCAGTTTCTATATAGAGCTACGCTACTGACATATAATGGTACATGTTTGTTAATGTTACAAGGGTATCAACAATTTTGATTAAAGTCAACATTTCGCAAATTCTTTGATCGATACAAAAACCTTGTATACAAATAAACCTGTAGAAAGGGCGAAAGTTATTATTTTCAAATAGAATTATGTACAGATTACTCTGTTTATATATTGTCCACGACCAGGATCTCACAGCTGATGTGATCGGTAGACAGGGGATACTTACTCATGCATGGCACCAGATCTCATATTTGATGTTTTCAGATGTTATTTTTGCTCTGCTCAGTTTGTAATGTTTTATTGGATTTTTTTATCCTTGTTACTGTTTGTTATCCTCACATTTCATTTTGAACTCTATTTCATTTATAAAATAAAACTATTGTACTCTACAAGTTTAGTAATGTACAAAATATGAAAAGAAAATATAAAAAAAAAATTGAAATGTTTATATTTTCCCCCGGTTTTTTTTCTCGGTTGATATTAAATTATTCACATTTTTTTAAGATGGTAATTTAAGGAAGGGTCTCTTAAAGACAACACGCGGACAATTTTAAATTGGTTTTAAAAGTTACCAAGAGTATATCCGCTACTCTGTTTATAAAATCCAACATGAATACACTTGTCAACCGTTTTTGAAAACGAAAAATATCAATCGGGCCGTGCATTAAAAAGTTATTATTTGATGCAGAAAAGAAAATATTTTGTTGGGTTTTTTTTAGCAAGACGAAGATTTTTTCGGCCTGACTCACCGTCCCTGAGAGATTTTACTCTCTATTCCTCTTTCTTCACAGATCATTGTTTATTGCTTTGTTTATTGATCTTGGCCCCTGTCATGAATAAATGCATTATTATACGACAACTTACCTGACCGACTCATGACTGTCTTCATAAATATTCACCTGTATCGTACATACTAGTACTATGCGTTGGCTCGCTGAAAGTTGTAAATTCAATGTGTTCATGAGAAGAAAGATAACTACTTATATATATTTACTACTGCGTTGAATGACAATTCCATGAAATGTTGCATGTAGAAATATACACATAGGAACTTGTGATAAAGTAAAACCACAATAAGGCTACCGATTTGGTAATGAAAATACCATATATGGTCACAAAAAAATTTAAATCTTGAATTTATGGTTTACGTTTGTGACTGTTATTTGTATCTAAATCACACAGGCTTGCACGTAGGCATAAATTTTCATTAAGCGTTTGCTCGCTTAATGGAATATGCATGTGCCTACATATACGTGGAAAGTCTCTGTGTGATCTACACACCAGTATCACTCACAAAACTCAAAAAAATTCCTAAATATATCACTTGTCAAGAGAGTAATGAAAAAAGACATAACGATCATTCTGAACAGTACATTATATGTATTGCAATTTTTTTATTACAATAGAAAATAAGATTCTCAGAAAAATGGGAAAAAAGGAAAGAAAAGAACTAACAAATTCAGAAGTATTGTTGTATTTATTGTACCATATATATTAATGGTGCTGGAGATTAAAATATAAGGAAAACTGGTAGTTTAAATTAACTTAAAGAAAGAAAAAACATCTTATAGATTACATATGATGTTTTAAGTATATTATAGTGTCTCAAGGATTTATGTTTGGAACTTCAAACAACTTTTAAGCCTGAAACCCTTCCATACAAGTTTATATCCCGACAGGAAGATGTTTGATCTTTCCATTTTATTTTCCATATATATATCAATTTATTTGGCTTATAACATTCAGGTATCAAAATGGAAACAAAACTGTTCGGAAGGTTAATTTCACTTTCTATGTCATTTCATTAATTATGAGCTTTTAAAATAATAATCAATAATTTTTAAGTAACTTATTATTTATTCCAAAATATTGCTAATCAGAAGGCTGTTTCCTGTGCTTAGGTTTTATTCCTTGATCAAATTTATCATTCACTCACTGTCATTTCTTTAATCATTAGAATGACAAAATGGTCTGGTTTGATCTATATGGTCGTCAATTAGTTGTTTTTAAACGAATAGAAAAGCATTTAAATACATTAGGCCAAATTACAACATATCACTCATTCATAATGTCAAATCTCAGTTATTGTCTTCAAACATGGCACGTCTGTTCTGAGCAGATTACTCCAAAATTGTAAAAGAGTAAGCGCATTAATCTGGCATAGCATAGTATTTTTCTATGAAGATTATAAAACCTCATATAAATCTTATACATGTACGTGAAAAGAAGAAAACTCTCATTGTGGCCTTCAACTCGACATTTAGATATATCGAAGATGTATTGTCAATTATCAATGGTTATGTCCATTTTTATGTGTCGATACGATATATCTCAGTGAGCTTGAAATAAAAGATACCACAGAGTCTGACACATCTGTTTCATATTTGGATATTTTACTAAAACAAGACGTTAATGGTAATCTAATAACCAAGCTTTACGATAAACGTGATGACTTTCACTTTTCAATCGTCAACTTCCCTTACTTATGCAGCAATATACCTTCATCACCTGCATACGGGGTTAACATCTCTTAGTTGATTCGATACGCAAGAGCATGCTCTACGTATGAATAATTTCTAAAACGAGGTAAGTTACTGACAAACAAGTTGATGAAACAAGAACATCACCAGTCTCGTTTAAAGTCGTCGTTTCGTAAGTTCTTTTAATTGTCGATACAATGACCTTGTCAGCAAATACAATTTATCATTAAGGAGGGATTCTTGTCTGGTTTCTGACTAAATGAAATATTCAAAGTGTATTTGCCATATGTCTAATATATTTAGATGTAAAGGATCTAAAAGATTATATTTTTCTTTCCTTCTCTAAATTGTACTACTTTAAATACAAATGGTAGGCTGAGTTTGATATCTAGCAGGGACTATATTTTCGGCGGAATAGCGGCGTATGAAAATATTGTAACTTGATATGACTACTTTTTCATATGTGAAAATAAGAAAAATTTAAACATATGAAGTATATCAAAATACCTACTATTCCCTAAAAATTTAATTAAAATAGAGGAAATTCGGATTAGTAATATCTCTATTTTAGTTGTATATTTTATCTTAATTTGGTAGTATCATCTGATAGACCTTATATGGTGAAATCTTTTTATGCAAAAAGAAAAACATTTAATCTTTTAAAATAAATGAAGGCATCAAATGATTGGCAAAAGTATTTTTTTTATTCTTAATGTCAAGGAAAAAGATAATGACCTTGACCTGACCTTGCACCTAAAACAAAACGGTCAAATTTAATCTCATTGATACCAGTACTTAGTGATATTGTCATCTTAAATCTGTGAAATTTTCATTAATTCTTAAATACAATAAATATAAAAAGAATCCCTCCTTAAGTCAAATGCTGACTGACGTTTTTCATACTAATTGTTAGGCCATGATTTACACACTGAATTGTGGACGGATTTTTCTGTTATTTCGTGACAAGGAGCACACGGCGGATGTGACCGGTTGGCAGGGGATGCTCACTCCTCCATGGCACCTGATCCCATCTCTGATGTTTTAGAGGTCCGTGTTTGCTCTGCTCCAAAATTTTTATTGTTTAATGGACTTTTGAGCTTGAATACTGTTTGTTATCTCCATACATTTCATTCATATAAAAGTTTAATGAAAAATTCAAAACTACCATCCTAAAAAACAGTAGATTGCCTGTCTTTGCTCTATGCGATAGAGACTGAGCCGGTTGCATTTCATAATGGTCCGGAATTCTTTCAAAACATTTGGTTATAAACTTTCACATTAAACAGGAATAAAAGTAAATATATAGTGTTTGATAGTTTAGTTCAGTGTTGGTTGTTTTCTGTTTCTCTATTTCCTTTGTCTTTATTACAATTAGTTTCTAATTTCTTTCTTTGTCCAGAGGAAGGGACAGGGCGTCCCGAAAATTTGACAATTTCTATTGTTCGCAACGTTGGTTGTTGTGCATATATATATATATATATATATATATATATATATATATATATATATATATATATATATATATATATATATATATATATATGCACTTTTTTATGTGTCCTATGTTTATATATGATATTATATAATATAATATTGATAAAATTTGTCATTATTACTAATAGTGAATATAAGTAGATTTGCATATGCATGCATTCTTTAACAAAAATTGGGAAATCCAGGAAAAATTAAAGCCAATGACTGTAGACAATGGAGCAACCTACCTGTGACTTTGTATGCAATTATTGGTGTTTAGTGATATTTATATTTTAAAATAGAAGTGTTGGGATTCATTTTTTTTATCTATTAAGGTCTTCTGTTTGGGTTGCATATTTGATTATATACGAAGATAACGAACAGTAATCAAACTCAAAAGTCTACTGAAACAATACAAATTTAGAGCAGAGAAAACGGACCTCTAAAAACGTCAGAGGTGGGATCAGGTGCCGTGGAGAATTTCGAAGTAACCGTCCCCTTTCAGTGTGAAAATAATGGCCTAATAATTTGTATGAAAACCGTCAGGCAAGTTTCGACTTAATGGTAGATTGCATTTGCTGAAAAAGTCATTGTATCGATCATAGAGGGGTAAAGATAGGAACATTAGTTTTTCACCATAATGAAAGGAGTAAAGATAACAAGCAGTGCTTAATATTTAAAATCCTGTAGATAGTTCAAAACTTAAACAGCTATAATTACAATATTTTACTTTTTGTTTCTTTGTAAACTGAACAAATTTTCTTTCACTTGGTTCTTCTACTTTACTCTATAGCTTGTTACATTCTACCTTTTTTAAATAATGAAAATTGATTTTAGTGTTTTTTTTATTTTGTTGTCTTTTTATTGCTGATGTTGTTATTTTATTAAATTATAATTTTAGATAATAAACTAAAATTTCTGATGATACATTGCACAATGATCGTTACCGGGAGTTTCTTTTCCCATCGTCGCGTTCTATGACTGCAAGGAATCTGATATATATTCTACATTAAAGGTAATCATAGGCTACCGTAATTTGGAAAACTTGGAGGTACGTAGAACTTAATTGCAACTTTGAATAATTTGAGCCTTTATTAAGAAATATTCACATAAAATCTTACAAAGTCTTTATGTATGTAAACTGTGCTTTTCTGAAAAGGTGCTCTGAACTGGATTATTGAATAAGTGTGTCAGAACCTTTGAATGTGTACCAGGTTGTAAACAAGATAGTACAACGAGAATTTCTATTTTTATACATGTATATGCTCATTTGTACCTAATATTCACAGAAAAAAACTTTTTTGATGTAATAGTTTTATTCTATTGTGAAATATTTACATGATATCTACATGTATTTACATCTATGTTTTGTCATACACTCTGAATGAATCATTGTTCATAAGATCAAATTAGCACCATAAGTAATTAGTAAATGGATATTCTGAATACGTCTAAATTAAGCAACATCATTTATGTTGGATTAATGAAGTTTTCTAATTGCACTTTACAGCATCTGTAGTATGGGTGACAACGACAACAAAGATCTGCGATCTTTACGACAGAAAGAAAAATTTGTACTCAAACAGATATTTACATCCGGGTTTGTGACCAGCGCCACTTTCTTTTTCTCATTTCGCTACGCACCCTTCGACACGTCAGGCCTGATCAGTATTGGTGATCGGATGGCATTTGCAATTCGCTGTTTGTTCTTCTCGTCACTCTCAATTTACTTCTTCATACTCAAGGTTGGAAACCTTCGATTTTACTCTAATGCCATAGATCCTATCAAAGGCGGCGGCGAAGAAGTTGTGGACATTGCCAATCGCGTCCTCAGAAACACGGTTGAACAGTTTATAACACACTCCGTTGGTCTATTGACATTGTCTACCCTTTTGGATGCAAGTTCTTTAAAGGCTATCCCAATCCTAGTTGGTTTATTCCTCCTCGGTCGAGTCGTCTTTTGGAAAGGATATACATCTTCATCAGCTTTGAACAGGGGATACGGATTTGCAGCGACAAACCTTCCCACTATTGCAGTCTACATTTATTGTTTGTTCTCCTTCGTGAGGTTGTACGTTGTCTGACTGTAGATTTTTTGTCGAAGAGATGAATAGAATGAAATTTTCGTCGTCTGACAGGACATAGTATAAGATCACTTCGTTTTGGATGTAAATTTATAAAGGTTCATGCTTACGCTCAGAAAAAAAAAATAATATTAATATTCTCTTGTTTAACAATGAGACCCTCAAATTACTTAGAAATAAAATATTTTCAAATCCGACACTTCACATTGTGTACATTTTTGTATCATTTTTTAAAATCTTGATGTCCAGATGACGTTGGCAATAGGCACAATAGAGAACACTGTACGCAGGGTTATTTACAATGAAGTTCATAAAGAGAGTATGTGATACGGACAACAATAAGCTCATTTTCTCTCCGTCATTTCAAAGTATAACAAACATCTGGTAAGAACTATAGATCGTCTAGTCTAACTACATGAATACTGATTTCCTTCTGCATCTTATTCCAGACAAGAGGTTGTGGTGGTAAAACATAAAAAGCTTATTTTGTTACCAGTGTCTTTCAGACTTTGGACAGCTACATGTATCATGTTGTAAATTTTGAATTTACTAGGGGAGGTAAATGCAAAATTTACAACATGATAATTTTTTTTCCTCCCCTAGTAAATTCAAAATTTACAACATGATACAGCTTTCCAGAAAGAAGAAACCCCTTCCTAAACAATACTTAAATAATTTACAGAATTACTGTAGAAATTTAATCTCCTTTACAAGTATGCTATTTCATGTGACAGTTTATTAAGTTTACTGAAAGTGTTCTGTCTTCCCACAAATTTTATTAAAATAGAAAATCACCAAATTTTCTATATTAATAAAAATTTGTGGGAAGACAGTTCCCTCAAATCAACCACACAGTAACATTGCCGTTCATCTGCTTCATGAGACTGAGAGAATTGTACAATTGTATTCATATTCATATTCGTATTCATACATGTATTCTATCGTCGGTACTTCTCGTTTTTGCCTTAAACAGAAGCTTTAACGTTGAACAAAAAAAATCAAAACAAAATAAAATAAAACCAAAAAAATACATTATTAAATTATAGATTTTTAACAATTGTTAGTAATACCATCTGCTATACAGTTTGTAAATTAGGGATGAAAAATTGTTCCAATAAATGTGTAAATTTATAGATATATCATAAATACATAGAATATGCTTTATACATAGATTTACATAGATTTATATAAGTCTAGTCCAGAGAAACAAAACATTTAACACGTTTGGTATTATTAAGTTGAAGGGGCACGTTATGATGAATTGAGACATTCTAGGTCCTTTTACAATAATATTCAACTTGAATTACAATCGAGGTCTAGGGGACTGGATCAGGAAAGATGGTAAAGATAATGATGATCATTTAACAATTGAGCAAGTTGTTCATTAAATGGTTCGTAGAAATCTGTCAAAATATTCTGAGTTTCCGGTAGCATTTCTCCAACGTTTACTTTGCGTGTGTTTACTGGCTTTTGGAAAATCATTTTGCCCATTATTTCAGTATCAACGGATCCTGAAAACAAAAATCATTATTTGAATGTACTTAAAACCAAGAAAACCAAGAATTTGAAGGAAAAAAATGTTTTAATCTTGTAAGAAATATAGAATAGTGAAACCAGTTTTCATGCCTACCCATTTGTAGAAAACTGAAGACATTATTCAACACGGAACTCGTTCTTGCCGCGTAGTCTTCGAGTCTAACAAACAGGAACTGGTCCATGGGAAATCTCCTCAGCCATTGCTTTATGTAAACCACATAAATACCCAGGCGTAAACGAACCTGTTAGACAACAAAAGTAGTTAATAAGATGACGTCATCACCAGCAATGAAGGCTGACATACATGTAGCTCAGTAGATGTATGTTCATGTATGTGTAAAATGTTGCTACCTATAGAGTCAATGAACTTTTCACCAGTTCTTTACTCTAAAAGTAATGAAATTTATCCCAATATAAATAAAGCAATATTATAAATACCTTTGCCATTTTTGCCAATGGGGCATCAAATGCACAAGCGTCAACTCCTTTGTTGTTAATGCAATCATTATAAAGTTTTATTGCTGACGTCACTTTGTTATGGAAGTCAAAAGGACCTTTGTTTGCAGCATGGAAAAATAGGTAGTCCGAGTACAACCTTTAAAAAGATAATTATATGTACAATACAGGCTATAGGCATTTAGTTCTGTATGTAAAAGAATTTCTTCAATCCAATTAATCGGCAACCAAATTTAGGTGGGTATGCTTTTTTTTCTTTTCTATCTCTGTCTGTGTGTCGCAAGATGTATCAACAAACTGTTAACTGAATTCATTTTGGGCAGGGGGGGTGGGGGAGAGAGAGAGAGAGAGATGCTCTGGTAGAGGAATTCTGTGAGACCAAATGGACAGAAGAAGAAGATCCAAAATTGAGTTACTTTAAAAAATATGGGGTTTTTTTCAGGTTTTTCTTTACCTTTGGACAGGGTCCCTAATCATTACGATCAGTTTTGCGCATGCGTTCATTTCCTGTACAAAATCAGCTGTAGTGTACATTGGAATGGTCAGATTAAAATTTCTCGGTAGCGAGGAATATATATCATTATCCCATATTGTAGACGGACTGAAATCACCTGCAAATATAGGTATTATTATTCCATATTTTACAAGGACTGAAATCATCGACAAAAACAATCTACGTTTTCATGAGTTATATGTCACTTTTTTAAAAATATTGCATGTATTTTCATATCTAAACATTTGTATGTTAATAAGATAATTTACCCTTTTAATTGCTGATAACTAACCTGTTATTTTTCGATATTCTATATTTGTTCTATTTTTTAATAATTTCTCCAGTTCCACGTCAAGTACCATAGGATAAAACACTCTAGTATACAGAAGAAAACCATGGTCAAAATCTCTCGTACCTACGATATAGATAACACAAAGTTTTCATCGTTCGACCTTCTTCATTATTTAAAAGAATCATGATTCTATATTCAGTGTGAAAATACAGAAATATTAACGCTATAATTTATTACATTATTCAGATATTATATTACCTTATTCAATAAAATTATGTAGACATGCAAATTAAAAAGTGAGAAGTCTCAAAAACATAGATAATACACGTTTTTTTTTTCTAATTTTATTGTAAAGAAACGCCACCCAAGAATATTGAAAAAAAAAATAAATATAATTGTACTTAAAATCTATTGGATTATTTAACAAAGAGTGATTTCATAATTACGGATAGCGTCACTCACGATATGTTTTGTTCATGGCGATGAACTTCAGTCTGTCGTTTCTAGGCGGAATAAAGCGATATCGCGATATCCAGTGGATTTCTTTAAATGAAGGCTGCACGAATTCTGGATGATGTGACATCCTGTCAAACAAGTCTGTGGTTCCACATTTCGGAAACCCAATTACAAAGAAGTAAGGGACACACTGGAGGAGTTCCGATGAATGGTCCCTTGGGTGTTTCCGTTGATTTCGAAAGCAGGGATTCTTATGGCCTTCCGTCCAAAATTTACGCAATGTCTGCAAAAAGACAAAAATTAATGGCTCGTGACTGAAATATTTATTTATTTGTTTGTTTATTGATTGATTGATTTACATGTATTATTTATTTGTGATGTGAACTTGTGTTTTGTGCAAAGAAATGTACACCCCAAATTTATTTCTTCATTTACAGGAAACTTTCATGATATGCCTCAGTGTAAAAATATTTATTTTATGTAAAACCTATACATACAAATAATTTCTGTTTTAACATTCACTTCAATGCTAATATCCGTCTCATTTTATGCCATTAATGATAATGTTGTTGTGAATGTTTCCTTTATGTCAAAACCGACCAAGCAGAAATGAATGAAGGACCGATTCATTATATGGCCGAGGACATCTTATTAACAAAGAATGACTTACTTGTGTTTACCTGGACAGAACATAAGGGGACAGTCCTGGTCAATGCGGTCTTAATTTATTACACCGTAATTTCATTACTACTCAGTGGTTCATTGTTTTTAGGAAATATTCGTGACAGATATAATAATCTTTGTCTTTGAATAACTGTAGGATTATCCATCATTTATATTGTTTAATTAAGAGCCCATATGTCTCGTTGAACCTTGACATTATATACTAAATAAAAAGCTGATCAAAAAAAAAATCTTTACACCCCCCCCCCTTAAAATCAGACTGTGAGTGACCATTATCACACCCCGGTAAAAGAGTAAGAGCATTATTTATTGCATGCTAATAGACGGAGGAAATATATACATAAATTTACATGTTATAAAACAGTTTTATCATTTCCATTTCATAATTGATCATATAAAAATAGAAGAGTTTTTGGAAAGAAACTCTCCCTTGTTAAATTGATCATATACTGGTTCTGAGACATTTTTTGTGTTACCCTATCAGATGAGGATGGCAATGATATTAACTGATGAAATTGTCGCCAAAGAAAGTTTGTTCCTTAACATTGTATGAATTACTTTTCAAAACTCTGCTCTTATAGTGTCAGGGATTTGACATAGGCAAATGGTTGTCTTTCTGTAATACTAAACACTTTCTGTCACTGATTGCGTTCCCAAACGATCGGAAATTCTATATGAACCTTGCTTCGGACGAGTTTTATTTCTCTCATTATTGTGATAGATATTTCAAAAGTTAGAAACGTTTGTTTAGAGAATATCAGCTTGTTACATTGTAAAATTTCATCAGCCATGGCATTTAGACATTAAAAAGTATCTGTGCATTTATTGCATAAATTCAGTACATGTATCTATATCATTTTGATCATGATTTGGAGTGCATTACCGTTATATAGTATGAATATGTATAATTCAAATTGTACATATCCTTTGTTATGAAATATATTTTTCTATAAATGAAATTTCTGGAAAAATGACATACATGTAACTTTTGGATACTCGGTGTCCAACATCACAAACACACAGACATATAAAACAAAAATGTTCTTGTCAATCATGCGATTCACAGTAACATACCTTATCTGAATAATGAACACCTTTCCGACATTGAAACACATCTTTCCATCCGTCGTTTTTCTTACATAAAGTTTGAATTTTGTTGGATGCCTTTCTAACGTCATATTTAATGTTATCATTGGTCACTTTTATAATAAATCCAGTTGTTATCATAAGAGAAAACAGGGATAGGAGCACTGTAGTGCGAAAATTTCCTCCTCGAATTCTTCCAAAGACTGATCTCCAAATTCTATTTTTCTTGGTTTTCCGTAATTTAAAGCTATGTAACACGATAATTTTCATGTTTTTTACTGATAATAAAAACTCTTTTCATCATTCTATTGAAGTCCAAATTAAAACAAACCAGTGTAAGTTCACCCTACGGCCATGTTGCTACAAATACCAGTGCTTGTTATCAATGTCAAGAAATAAATGAGAATAAAATGGCCAAAATCTCCCACAAGAAGCTCGGTCAACACTTGTGGTTGATATATTGTCACACATGTAATTAACTTGACCTTGCTTGATGTCAAAGGTCATTAACATACAGTCCCACCGCCAGGTGGCGTCATATCATACAGACGTTCCAAATGAAGTTTAGTTCCATAAAAGGACCAAGAATAGAGCTAAGATGGATGTTTTAATGAAAGATTGACAATAAAACAAGACTCCTTGTATCAGGCACTAGCTTGCTTGAGCTTGTACGCACTAGACATTTTACTACGAAGTACATGTATACAAATGTTTTTGTATATTTTAATAAAAAAAGACAAAGCAACGCTAAATGTCATTCTTCGTAGAGATCTTCTACATAAATCAATTTAAAAAAGGTAAGCTTTCCACTCTCGTCGTGTTGCAAACTATATCTGGGCAATAATTTACATTTTGACTAAATTTAGTTTTTTGTCAGAACTGCATACATATTTGCACATGATAACCACGTACATATGTATTCTATTTTTATAAAATATTAGAAAAAAATCTTCAAAATATTATACGATAAAGTTTTGCTGAAAAAACTTACGTAAGGTATCCAAAGACTCATCAAGGATCGGAGTCAATATGATATTCAAGGATTCTGCAAGAATAGGAGTCATTGTGCTATTTAGAGACATAAAAAGAAAGAAGTCAATATGATATCCAGACTAGGAATTCGGGGTCAATCCACTTAATTCCCACGGATTCTCAATATGCTAATGCTATGATCCACACACTTTACAAGGGTAGAAATTACATTTACAGGTGTTATGGTATCGAGCATTTTATCGGGAAATCCAGATTATCATTAATTGCTACCAACAAGATAATGTACTTATCTGTTCTCAGCTAGAGTTTCTAGAACAGTTCTTATTACTATCAAACTAAGGATTTTTTTTAACAGATAATATTATAACAAAAATAAATAACTGTTATTTTTTACGTATAAATACATTGAAAGGCCCAAATATTTAAGAATGAAGTGTTTTCCTGCGCTGTCCCTTTGGAACAAGGAAACGCCTTCATTAACGCTTTATTTCTCGAAAAAATAGGCAGTTTATGCTACAACATACTATCAAACAAAGAATGCATTTTATGTTTAAAACAAAACAAAACAAACAGACGAATGGAAATGTCTTTCGGAAGTGTCCCACTAGCAGTTGAAATAACGTTTGACGTTCTTAGAATGAATTTTTTGAGATTAAAAGTCAAATATTGACATTCAACTTTAGCACTCGTTTTCTCGATAATGTCACAATACACATGGGGGTGGTTTTCGCTTGACGGTCATCATATATATTGAACACAACACATCAAAACAATCCATTTCGACGTCTTTGTGGTGTTTTAAAAACGTTTGGTAGCAATTCCTGACGTTAAATCGAAAGCAGCAAGTTTAGACTCCAGAGAAACAGCTTCCTGACGTTACTTGTTTTTCTTTTAATAAAAAAATATATCCCTACCTAATTATTAGGTAGGGGGTATATTTTTTGAATTAAAATAAAAAAAACAAGTAACGTCATGTCCCTGTGTCCAGAGTTCGAGAGGGTGGAGGCAATAAACAAACCAGGTATCAGTGACGTTAAATTTTAGTGTATTTAATGGTTATATAGCTGCTTCTCAAGCTACCTAAAAAGGGAGACATCGCCCTGTTATTGATTCCCAGTTAGATCTTAAGCAGCACCATTCTTTACTAATTGAAAGCTACATTGGCAACAAGATGCAGAAAATTATTCCGTGAATCAATTATTATGAATTTTTTTTAAGTATATAAGTATAAACTTTTGTATAATATGTGGGATAATAGGATGATAAATACACGTGCCTCTGAACACAGTTTATCTGTGAGAAAGTCCGCGACCATGTTAAACGACAGGTGCCATGGAAGGTTCTCTTTACAGGGTAAGATCAGCTGAAGGTTCTATGAAGATCCCAGTTGATAAGTGATCTATAAACGAACCCTATCAGAAGCTTTTTATGTAATAACTACTGTCGAGGCAATTATGTGCACACTACTGTCCTAGCTTCTCTTTAATGTTACTACAAGTAAAGAGTGGTTTTCTGAAATTTTTTCTGCACGTTTGCGTATATTGAGCTGATTTTGGTTAAGTCCTATCTTCCTGAGTTAAAATCAGGGATGTGTTTTACAAAAGAACTTACGACTAAATTAAAAGACTAAAAATTAGATTGTTTATAAAATCTTGCAAATCTTTTATACAAATTTCCTTTCAGCGTTTTAAAATTATAAATCAGGACACAGTCGTCATCTTCATCACAAGCCATAGCAGAAGTTTCAGTTATGGTGCTTTCTACACATATTAACAAATACTAAATTCAATGGTGAGTAGCTCCCTGCGATAATGAATTACTTTCGTGATATGTAAATTCCAGTTTCAAAAAGTAATGTAAAACTCAATTTCTCTATGCTCATGCAATCGAAGAAACGAACAAAAATCATAGAATTCTGGGGGTTTTATTTGAAAAATGTCAAAATTAACATATATAACAAAACTGACAGCTGAGATAAAGCTTAACCAACATATAGAGTTGGAGTTCTTATTCAATGGACGGTTTATACTTAAAGCTGACGGAATTGGGACAGAGTAAAATATAGGGTGGGTGTAATTAATTTAAGAAAAAAGTATGCCATTCTTATAAAACAGAGTTTGTAAAACTTATACATATCAAGTGAACATAAGGAGATCATATAAAACAAAAAAGAACAAGATGTGTTTGTGAAACACTGATGCCCCCGTATGACAGCTTTTTAAAGAGTAGGCCAAGCTCTAAGGTCAAGGTCATGATGAAAAAAATGTTCGTACTCAAAGAAAGATCTTGTCACAAGAAATACACAAGTTTAATATGAAAACAATAGCACTAACCGTAGAAGTATGACCAAGGTAAAAAAAATTACAAAAGTCGGTAAAACTCCGTGGTCAAGTAGTCGTGAGGTAAAATCTGTTCGTAGTACCCAAAGGAAGGTCTTGTCACAAAACTTCAATAGTATAACATGAAACCTCTAGAACTAACTGTTCAAAAGTTAGGACCAATGTTAAAGTTTTACAAAAGTAGGACAAACTTTAAGATCAAGGTCAAGAGGTCAAAAAACTTGGTACCCAAACAAGGAATACACATGTGAAACATGAAAGGTCTAGCTTCAACCATTCAAAAGTAATTACCAAGGTTAAAGTTTTATTAAAATGGGAGGAAAATAGGTAAAACTCCAAGGTCATGAGGTCAAAAATTTTGGTACAGGAAAAGTACCTGTGAAATATAAAAGCTCTCGCAACAACCGTTGAAAAGTTATGACCAAGTTTAGGATTTTTGCGGACAAGCAGACAGGCAGACCAAAAATTATATGCCCCCGAAATCTTCGATTACGGGGCATAAAAAATAACAAAAATCAAAAACACAAATAAATCATACAAACTAAATCAAACTAAATCTTCATTTGATGAAACATATGCTTCCCTCGCATCTGTGCAATATGTAGCGTCCTAAAACAATCAATATATACAGTCGTGAGATATAAAGAGATGTGCTATAATATTGGTTTGAATTCGAATCTGGCATATGACCTTAAATGATTTCATCATACTGAAATTACGATTTAGAATTTCTCACAAATCCATGACATTATTACTTTGAAGTAATTATATCGAGGAACTTCAAATCTTGACCCCCCCCCCCCCTTTGCGACTTGATAGAGATTAAAAAATGGTTTCTTTTAAACATTTTTATTAATAAATTGAGTTGGACGCTAATACATTTGTATTTATATTCTGCCACTTAAATAAATCCATTCCATATCCACCCTCTTTCCAAAAGGTACTCTAGCCAGCCACCAATTAGCGGAGACGAACACATTAATATGAATTTAATATTGTTAAGTAGTTTGAATAACAAGGCTTTACACTAAATTGCACGCCGATGATCAACACTAAAAAATTTAAAATCTGACAATAAAATATTTAATCGACATATTTAAAAAGAAAAAACACAATTACGGTTCCTAATCCTCCACTCATAGGTAAATGTTCCTTCAATGCTTACGATTTTTCTAAAAGAAATGTCTTTTATAAGTAAATTGCAAATAATTTTAACACAGCTTGCGGGGCAAAATTCGACAAAATACTTTTAAACTTGACAAATAACAGATATTCACCCCATTAAGAGTTATCTCTCTTATCGGAGTATCAATTAACCTTAAATATACCTATCTTAAGTACTGTATGATACAAAGTAAGGCACATGTGAACAAGAAAAAAATTGCATAAATTAATTCTTGCGTAAGTACAACACAGTATAACAATAAGTCATAGAGTTACATGTACGCCTGTTAACATTAAAAAGGTAATAAAAGTATGTTCACTCAGCATAATATATCCTGTATTGGTACAATAAACGTTAACATAACCCATTACAACATATAAGCCGAACAGAACACAACTTTTACACACTCCAAATGGAGAATACACATTTTTTTTCTTGTCAAAATCATATTGCAGAAATATTTTTTTCAGTGTTTAACATTATTACAATGTATCTTAGTCAAGATATTCTAAAACACTCAAAGCAGACATAGAACAACTGCTTACCATGCTAACAATTGTAATATCACAGTTAAACATTGTTTGATCAGCACCAGATTTTACTTGTTTCAGCACTCTCTTCGGAGCATGCCCATCTATAAAGGTAGCACATCCGTTTCCGGTTCAGTTTTGTGCACTTTAAACAAGTTAAACATTTTCTATCACGTTTATCTAGGCTTTATTGGTGGTAGAGCGTTGGGTCTCCCCAGTCTTTCTTCCATCGGAAGCATAGAGAGTGCGTTCCTCTGCGTTCCTTGTGTCGAGTCACTTGTGACGAAATGATTCAGGGGAGGTAAGGAAGAAGGCACTGATCGTTCCTAAAAAAGAAAGACAAGTTCCGCTTCAGCAATAAACATATAGAATTAATATCCTTTTTTGTAATTTGTTTTCCTTAAGTGTTAATATTTGAATTATGCTGATTATGACCCTGTCTATAATAATAACGTAAGCAAATTTATGTATATTGCTGCATATTCATTCCTGACTATCTCTATGCTTCTATTACTTTTTATTCTTTGTATGAAAACACTAGTACGTATACGTTAGTCATTTCAATTTCAAAAATCTCAACAAGCAGTAAATATCTGTCTAGTATTTTAAAAAAATGAATGTCTGCACGATTCCCATAAGTTAACAGTTCTCATATACATGTACATGTTAAATCCCGACTTATCTTACTTTACTAAACAGAATAATGATTTTTACCCTAGAGGTCACACTTGAATAAGGTGGTGGCAGCGAATCGTTGTCACTTTCTGCTGGTGACGCAGAACCTTCGCTTTCTTGGTTGGTGGAATTTGTGAGTGGGGTTCGAGATGACGGTCTGTCTTCACGTGATGGACGGGATAAGCGTGTTCGAGAAGATGGCCTCTCCTGCGGCGCGGATGGTTCTTTCCGAGTTTGAGATACAGTAAAAATATCATTTAAGTTTGGTCCTGTTTTCTCTTGTAGTTCCTCCTCTGATATTTCGTAATTGGTTGGCCTCTCAAGATCATCCTCCGAGATAAGACCAATCTACAATTATAAATATAGATCATCTTCCGCCATTAGAAATAAATACAGATTTTGGGAGGTTATTTAAATAATGTCTTTGGAATCAAAACCACATACATGTATACGCGTGATACATACCTGCGATGTTTTAATTGTGTAAGGAAAATTTTCGTTCGCAGCAGACGGTCGGGTGAGTATCTGAAAGAATAAAGTACAACTCAATTTAAAATCATTTTATTGTTTTATTAAGACTATTAAAACTGAAAAGTGTAGCTCTACTGGTTTTTACTTGTAAAAGTGGAAAAGAAAACCTTCCCCTAGATTTCACCTGGACTTGAAACATTTTTAAATTACGTTTTTCATGCACTGAATCACATGTATATCCTGATTGTATCAAGTTTTATTGAAATCAAAACAATTTTTTGGAGTATTATCATTTTATAGAAAGCTTTCACAGATTTTTTTTTCACATGACAACATGTATCAAAAGCTGATTCTTGTTATGGTCTACTAAGTTTTATTGAAGTCCAACCAAACCTGGAGGAATAGCATTTTGAAATAATTTCACTCATATTTTAAGTAACCATGGCAAAACGGTTTGTCAAATCAACAATATGCCCCCAGGTCCCGGGGCCATAAAACTTAGACGAGCTCACTTTTGATCTCAGTCTCACTTTTCCACTATTAATTTCTAACAGTCATCTAAGTAAAATAAAGCCCTCTGAAGAATCCATAGAATGGTAATTCAGTAATTATATAATAAAGCAAAATAAGTGATAGAGGAAGATACGCTGCTCAAAATAGAGAATGCAATCAAGAATCAACAAAATAGTCTGTAATCTGCAGCAACTCTGCAAGTAGATCTATTTACTTCTGTGCTATAATCATACTCCCATATGTAATTTAAAAAACAATTTTTAAAGATTCTATAAGTTCAAACATTTCTTTTATCTGAGTTCTTCTGAACTATCTGCATAGTTTTCTCTGAAATATACTTCTGAGTTAGTCTACAGCTACATAGAATGTGAATTTCAGAGTTCTGAAAGAGACACCTTTCCTCGCCATAAACAAGCACTTAGTTTGTCTGTGAATACCCAGGAGCAGAGAAAAGGATTGTCATAGAATAAATGCATTTTCACCATTCGATCAATAGAGCTCTACACTAACAAGAACTCCTGACCCAGGGGCAAATGAATGAATTTCACGTTTCTGAAAGAGGCACCTTTGCTAATCATAAGCATACATTTAGTTTGTCTGCTTAATATACAGGGGAGGGAAGATTTTTGAAGAATTTAATAATTTTCAGTACATGTTTATGATAAATAGATTTCTGTCCAAAATCTGGAACCCTGATCCAGGGACCATGAATTTCAAAATTCTGGAAGAGGCAATCATCAAAACCATATATTTAGTTTGTCTTTTAGATAGGAGTATATAAGGGGGAGAGAAGATTTTCAAAGAATTAATGTATTTTCACTATTTGATCAATCGTTAGTCTCGCCCTAAAACCAGAACTCTTGACTCAGGGAATATGAATTTCACAATTTTAGAAGAAGTATCCTTGCTCATTATAACAATGCACTTAGCTAGTCTGCTTATTATACGGGAAAAGAGAAGATTTTTAAAGATTTACTGCATTTTCATTACAAAGTCAATAGAGCCCACCTTAACGCAAGAACCCCTCCATGAATTTCACAATTTAGGCAATAGGTAGAAAACCCGTTGCTTATTTAAGTATTCTAACAGTTTGATTGCTTAATATTCTCAGGAGTAAAGAAGAAGACCTTTGAAGATTACATTAATATTGATGGTTTTAGGCTCCACCCCTCAGGCCCAGGGTGGCAGACAGCATGGACCATGAAATTCAAATTTTGGTTCCCTTTGCCAGTAGATGTTATGTGCCAAATTTGGTTGAAATTGGTTCATTGGTTTGAGAGAAGAAACTAAATATGTTCAAATATTTACGAGTGACACACGATTAACAACGCACAAAGACGGACAAAAACAGAGACCAATACATGTAGGTCATATGAGTGACTCTGGTAATCTAAAAACCGATATACCGTATTTAATTGTGCACATTGGTGTAGTATACCCTTCTTCCAAGTTTTATTGAGGTTCAGACCAAAAATCTTGAAAGAATTTCAATTTTTTTAGTAACCATGGCAGTAACTTCATACAACTTGTGCATATAGGCCTTATTATTTTTTTTATTGACTTCGGATTAAAACTGTAGGAGGAATACCAGTTTGTAAAATTGATTACAGATAGCTAGACAGATGGAGGAATATATCTTACCATCGCAATATCTCTCTCTCTCTCTCTCTCTCTCTCTCTCTCTCTCTCTCTCTCGATTGAGAGAAATAGTATTGTTGTTATTAACATTAATATAATTTTAATATTTCAGTAACTTCAGCATTTTCTATTCGCTGGCTCGAATGCTTTGTCATTATTATTATTGTATAGATAGTATATGTAACATGGATATTAATATTAATAAGTATTTGTCCATTTTGTGTTATACCATAATTCCCGAGTCATGATTTTATTAAGAATGTACACGATCTGTATAGGACGACGAAATTTGATTCCGTCTTCTTAGAAATTTTGTTTCAATAAAATTGCAAGTATACCAAATGAATACGTCAAGATAGCATCATTTTAACCTGATTTCAAATTCTTGTATACATGTAGGTCTTAACCTGATGTTGTCCAAGTAACGTTTATTGTCTTTAAAGTACATTTTCTTACTTTTACATTGAATTTTCTTTCTCCCTGCATAAAATTTTCGGAAACTTCTCAACAGTAATTTATGAAACAAGTGCAAAAGAAACTCACCAAGAATGTCACGTGACCTAACATCATGATCAACTGATCCACGCCATTCACAATCTTTTCTCTTGCCCACTGTCGGATGGCAAACATGCCAATTATAATAGCAATGGGGCCTGCCCAAAACCTGAAATTACAGTCCAAATGTTTTGATTTTAACTACAACCATATAAAGTGTTTAACAAAATCTGGAAAATGACGACACGTTTCTCACGCTATCAGCAAAATTTATATCCTTCACAAATTGTCAAATTTGTTCTTACCATATTGTATATATAATAAATAAAGGGTAGTAGAATTTCCCGTTTTTCCGATGTTTCTTCAGTGTCATAAACAGGTAGACAACAAAAAAGATCCAGGCCAGGAGGCGGAGGGCGATGAGGGCGTAACCAGGCCAGTACTCGTAAATATACAAAACGGTGCCGGGGTCAAAGGTCTACAAGGGTCACAGAACATAATTACTTGTTATTAATTTCTGTTTTTTCAAGCGTTATATTTTAATTCATTCCATATCTGAAGTATTCGGCATTTTGAATATATCCTCTGCAAACAATATTATGATTTTTAAATTCTCTTTATTTCGATAATGTTCAATTAAGATGGAGCTTTTTTCCTAATTTAATTACTTTTATATTATTTATTATTTTCTTTGCCTTGTAAGCTGTCAGTGCCACTTACGTTTGCCTCCACTATGTACAGAGCGGCGTACGCTATGACGTAAACGGTGAAGAAGACAGAGAACAAAATGGAGGTCCGAGCAGCCATTTTGCCCTTTATAATCGTGTATCCATCCGCCATCAGCAGTAGCATCAACATAAACAACAGTGAGCTCAAGGCGGCAAAGATTCGGGCTATTTAAAGAATAAAGATTGATAAATTATATATGGTTATAGTATTGACATGCCATGTATTTTAAACATTGGGCCTAGATATTGACAAACACGACTCGGTTTGTGTACGAAGTGACTGTAAATCGCAGGGACCTATATAGTTAGTATATAGGTCCCTGGTAATAGTATACTTGTAGGTAGACTAACTCTACAGTAATATCAAAAATTCAAACATAATTTGATGCGCGTGTGTGTTTCAATGCTTCTATAATCTTTTATCATTTATATTATCTAGTTGCAGGGTTTATTCACTCAACGGAAGAAAAAAATTCTGTCACCCTCGTTACATAAATAACGTATTCTATATACAATAATAACCAAGTCTTTGTTTTTCTTTATCGGGAATTGGTTTTTTTGTTTAATATTAATACATTATGCGTAATTCTGTAGTTTATAATACCTGCACGCTCGGTGCCCGTTTCCTTATACCCATACGCCGAGTACCTTCCATAAGCTATACACCATAGCAACAAATGAAACCACCATAGGCACAAAGATGCTAGGTAGATCTTATAGGTCACGTGGAACATTTGTCTGGACCTCAATATTACTGTAATAAAGTATTGGTAAATAATTTATCATTGAACAGAAAATCCATTCACTGGTTTAATTTGTGAGCACATATAATAACAAGTATAGGATTTCTCAGTTGATTTCATCATTAAATATTAATACAATGCAATTACTGAAATAACGTTTGAGAGCCCAAGCAGATTTTATATCAGTTTGAACAATTTCCCCACTCATATATACATTGAATGCAATATCGAATTCAAATTATTTCAGAATTCAAGTGCTGCATAAAGGGAAAACAAAACAGCTGTTTTTTTTAATGTTTCTTTAAAAGAAAATTGTATTTTCTTAGGGTGTCGAGATATGCGCTTTAAACCAGTGAAAAATATATGTACATGTATATATTTATATATTTAGAATTGTTTCCATTTACTTTCTATTAAGCATAATAGAGATACTCGTTGAACCTGAATAAATATAGAATCTTTCGTTTTCAAAAGCGAAAAAATAAAATTTTTAAGAGTTATTTTAAACAAGCCAAATCAGACTTCATCCATAACAATTCTTAATTTCCTGGGATAACACAAGAATTACATAAACATCAAAGTACATGTACGTACTTGCGAACACCATTGAAATTAAGGTGATGAAGAAATACAAAATTAAAAAGGCGATGTCGGTCGGCAAAATATCTGAAAGGAAAAGAAATGATATAAAATAAATAATGAAAGATATATCTAGACATTTGTTTATAGGATGTCAGTGCCTTGTTCGATTGTTAGAGAATGTATAAAATACATGTACATGTATTGCATAGAACGTTACAAATGACAGGTAAAAACACTTGGATGTTATTTGCTACAATAAAGAAAATACTGAGAGACGAGGTCATTGGTAGATTGATTCTTGATTATTTCTGCTGGGGATTTGTCAGCCTATATGAGATCAATCTGCAAACAAGATACTAGATTTCAAAGGTTCACAATAAATCTTACATAGCTCGTCTGCTGAGAACTCTCGGTGCCACAGATCGTCCCCGTTTGTCATATGGAAGCGGAAGGTAATATTCAAACCAGTAATTGTCTGCAATAACAAATAACACTCGTGCAATTTGAATCTGACAACTCCAAATCAATTAAGAGGAGCAAACGTACACTCATTAGATTGTTGGCATATTTTCTATCTATAGATCATTTAATTACTATTTATTGAAGTTCTTAATTTATACAAATAAAACTGCTGCAGAAGGACACTTTGAAAATATGTGAGATCATTGTTTCAATTTTACTCACATTATCTTTTCTGTCACTAGGACAGCGACTGAGAACAAGATACCACCACATGTCACGTGACGAGCTGAACCGCTGTTTGTCCTGACACTCCACATACTGGACGCCACTGATCGTGATGTACTTACAGCCGGAGTAGGAATTCAGAGGATTGAGGGGGAGAATCTGTCCCCGTGAGATGTCCAAAACCGCCTTCTTCTGCTCACATGTCTAAAGAAATCACATTTTAGCAAAATATGTTTCACAATTTACCAAAGAAGTGGAGAACTTTGAAAAATACATGACCTTGGTTTAATTTCAAACAAGGAGATTGAAATTTGAAAAAAAAAATTCTGTGTTGAAAGTAAATTAAGTGCTATAGTTTAAAATTCATTAACATACATAATGATTGCGATAAATTGCTGGAAAAAATATACTAAATACATGTAATACATGTAAACGACATAAAAGAGATATGAAAAATTTACATTTTAAATATTCAGTCACCAATGTTTGACATTCATTATTGTCAAATTAGCATATTAGATGTTAAGTCTGAAAACTTCATATTCAATGCAGCAAAAATTATATTTCCCTGCGTTTTAGTTTTGTGTCAAGCTCTTTGTTTTCTTGTAGACTGGGATATGCTTGGATATTTTTTCTTAAAGTAGATCATAGGATGTTTTCACGATACATCGCACAGGAATGGGGTATTACAATGCAATATGTAACATTGTTACAAGGCAAAATTTTATTACGACGCAAAATGTTATGAACCCGAAACATTATATTTTGAGTCGATATGAACGGCAAATGTCATAACAAAGAATGCATTAAAATCCTTTGTGAATTATTTTATTTTGCGTTGAGGTTAACTCAATGTGCAACAGTGGAAATTGTAATATAACACTTTTTTTGGATTGTTGCATTTTATGCTATTATATGCGTCGAGATTAACACAAAATGTAATTACATACTTCACGGATTAATTACTAAAATTAAGATACAATTGTTGATTTAAATCATATTTCCCGACATTTCAAAAATATGTCAATAGGATATGGTTCTAAAAAAAACTATAAATATACTGTTTACCCTTTGTGTTAAAATTTGCATTTAAAAATTTAATTGGTGCTATATATTTCCACTTTCTAGGAAAAGGGCATTTATTTGTGAAGATATAAAGCGATTATTACATACTGTGTTATTACAAAAAAAATGTCCAGCACAATGCAAAATGTAATTGTTCAAAACATGTGTTATTCCATTTTGTGTTTATCTCGACGCGAAATGTAACAATGCAAAATATAAAAACCAAAAAAAGTGTGTTATAACATTTTTCATTATTACATTCTGCATTACTTAGATGCAAAATGTAATAACACAAAATGTAATAAGCATGGTTTATTACATTTTTCGTTTTGACAATGGGGATTTATGTTACCTTGGAACTTGGATAGACACTCTCCCATATAGTTGGTCGATCGTAGTAAAACAAAAGGTGCTGTATTTCATAGGACTGAAAAATCAATGGAAAAATAAAGGTTTCATTCATAGCGTGTGACAAATGTGGGTTTAGTTCTGATGATTAGAAAAAACATGTCAAAGCAATCACGTAATTTACCTGCGGAAACTGGATGTAATAATCCAATTCACCATTTTTGCTCATGTAACAGAATCTGCTCAGAAATACCCAGTCCTGAAAGAGGATGTAAAACAGAGGTGTATCCACTCTAGAGTATCGTTTATACATGTATTTATCACTGCCGCTGTAAAAATTCAATGGATTATATAGAAATATTCTCATGCTTAAGAAATTAGATTGAAATAAAACGGCAGATTATGTAATAAAGACAATGGGACTTGGTGGTTTTTAGACCAAGACGGATGTAAATATTGTACACCAATAATAGCAGTAGTCAAGACAAACCGCAAGCACAATGTACGCTTATATAGGGATTTTTTTTATTTCTCATATTTATGATTGTGTGCTACTGAGTTTATTGTATTCCTTTTTTGAGAGGGGGAGGGGGGGGGGGGTCAATGTATTTTCTCAATCAATTTCAGTACACGTTCATCATATTTTTTTTTTATAATGACGCCTGTTTTTCAGGTCTGGGAGAAACTTTTCATATTCCGAACTTGTAACCATCATTTACCAATTGAAAGCGGACTCTGGCTTAATATTCCAAGACAAGACAGAATTTGTTCCCATTGTAATCTAAAAGAAATCGGAGATGAATTTCATTGTATACTAATGTGCACTTCACTTCACTACAAAAAGAAAGAATGCTATGTTTAACAGAAAAACACATAAGATTTAAGAATATAATTAGTTTAAAAACATCCTGAATAGTAAAAAAAACACTGTTTTCTGAGAAAAATGTGTTCGTTTATAAAGAAAATAAAATATGCTCCCCGGCCTAAAATTCCCATACTTCACATTTATAGCAACGGACTAATTTTTTGTTCTTTATTATTCACGCATGTTATTGTTATGTATTAAATCACACATATGTTGTAAGTCTCTATATACTATTGTCAAGTGGTGAAGAGATCATGATTGAAAATGATCCCTTTCACAAGCAATCAAGATTTACATGTCTCAATTTTTACATCACTTTCAGCCATCATATGAATTTAATACAAATCTACCTAACACAGACATTTGTGTCTCTGCTACAAACGACTAAACCTAATAAATGTAGGTACTGAGAGATCTAATAATAAGTTTCTTGAATTTGCATTTAAAACAACTATAGTCTTGGACATATACAGTGACTACATTAAATTTCTCCGTAGTTAAACTTTTAAAGGCATTTTTTTTATGACAAAAATTAATGATGAAATCTAGAAGAAATGTAAATTAAGCTCGTGATGATAATAGCTGTAAAGTCGTGAGTATACACGCTCTGTTTGTCAAAAGAATTTAGATGAACGGTGTATAAATATTAATATTTGAACTTCATCAGATGAATACAGCTAACATATCATATCCCTTGTTCTGAATTAGTGACCCCTATATTTCACAATACTCAAGCTTTTTATAGCTTAGACATTTTAAAATACTTCAAGTTCAATAACGGTTTCTATTCTCACAATAAGTTCTAATTTGTGGTTTATTGCGAGTTCTGATTTGGGATGAGGTATACGTATCCCTGGCCTGCACCCAATAACAACATGATGAGTCTATTTAATGAACCTTACTGTCAGTTTTTACCGATTGTCATTTTCATTTTTTTCAATAACGTACATGACTACTTAAATAGGCATGCACACATTCTGAACTACGAGATATTATGAAAGCAGTACCGTGGATCTATAGAGGGATTTTCTATATATTTTTTAATAATAAATTTCACTAATATTTAAAAAAAAAATATTTCTAATCTCAGCATTTCAACCAAAATCAATCATTTGCTAATCGATCATTTCAACCAGTAACATTCCAGTAACACAGCATTTAATCAGGATCAAACATCCATTGTGTTTGGGTAGAGTGACGAGAGCATTCATATCCGTTGCATAACTGCGTTGTTATGAAGAACAACTTGGTCTTTAAAAATGTTTATCCCCTTTCATAGTGTTGATATATGAACCTCTTTGTATGTTCTACTATGTGACCATCTTTTCATCCTCTCTGTAATGCTAATAAAGCTGGATTGAAGCTAGGGATTTTCCTATCAATATTTCAACAGAGATACTTATGTTGACCAATTAAAGAGGATAAATCATATTCCTTATTTGCACATTTTCCCTGGTACTATACGAAGTGACTACTATATTGTGACCATTGACCGTGGATTCAGCGTTCTGTTCTACGTAACCAACCCTCTGTCCGATACAGCAGGATTGGCTCAACCCCTATTATCACACAACAGAGCGATATCTAAATCTTCTTTTGCACACCTTACTCTGCTATACTATAAATAATACCCAAGTATTATATCATGCACAAAAATCCCTCTCCCTAAAACTGCAGGGGAGAGATCTGATTTTCCCATCGTATAGGATGGTCCAAAGCCTCTGTCCTACACTAAAGAACGGTCGAGACTCGGTCTTTCTCGAACACTGTTCTCTACAGGACAAAGCTAAGCCGACCCTTTGTAATACGCTGACTGTTTTGATCAAATCCTTCTTTTCTAACTACGGAGCACGATCAAAGCCTTCTCTCCTACTTCATAATGTGACTAAAAAAACCCTTTTCCTATACATGTAGCACGACATCAATTCCAACACTGCAGGTGTGATCCAAACCCTCTGTCCTACACTGCACCTTCTGTCCAATACACTTAGGGCTTGATCATAAACTTCTATCCCCTACAATACAGGATGTAATCAAAACCCTCTGTCTTTCCCTACCACACGTGTTCCAAACACTACAGGACGTGAATAAACACTCTCATGGCCGTAGGAACCGCTTGGGGGGGGGGGGGGTGCCCCCCACAACTGTCAACTGAAAATGTATGGCTGTGCCCCCCCCCCAAAAAAAAAACTGAATTTGCTTCCTACGGGCCTGCCTCTGTCCTAAAACACGTGATTCGAACCTTCAGTATTATACACCTCAGGACGTGATTAAAATCCCCTGTCCTAAACGACCACACGTGATCTAAACCTTCGGTTCTATACTCTACAGGACGTGATTAAAACCCCTGTCCTACAAAACAACACGTGATCCAAACCTTTAGTCCTATACACTAAAGGACGTGAATGAAACCTTCTTTCCTACACTACAACATGTGATCCAAACCTTTAGTCCTATACACTAAAGCACGTGATTAAAACCTTCTTTCCTACACTACAACATGTGATCCAAACCTTTAGTCCTATACACTTAAGGACGCGATTAAAACCTTCTTTCCTAGCCTACACTTAGTACACTACAACATGTGATTCGAACCTTCAGTGTTACACACATCAGGACGTGATTTAGATCCCCTGTCCTACACGACCACATGTGATCCAAACCTTAAATTCAGCTCTTTACACTTCAGGACCTGATTAAAACCCTCTGTCCTTCCCTACAACACGTGATCCAAGCTTTCAGTTTTATACACTTCAGGTCGTGATTAAAAGGATTCAAACATTCTGTCCCATGTATACACTTTATGGTCTGATCCAAATTCTCCGTACTATACACTACAGACCGTGATTCTACAATACAGGGCATGACCCAAACCTGTTCAATACAGCTCAGGATGTTATCAAAATCTTCTGTCCTTTACACTACACCATAGATCCACAGTCTCTGTCCTACAATGCAGGGCATGATCCAAACCTTTTTCCTCTACATTTCATGAACCTGATCAAAATTCTCTCTCCTATACACTGCGGCAAGGGATCAAGACCCCCGATCTGTCATAAAATATAGAACATGAGTCATACCTTCTGTTTTAAGCACTTCAGAACTTCATCAAAACCCTCTGTCATACAATACAGAACATGATCAGAACCTTCTATCCAACACACTTCAATTAATGTAGGAAGTAATCTCAACTCTTTCTCCTGCACTAAAAGAAATGATCTAAATCCTTGCCCTTAGTCCCTTACGTAAAACGACGTGGTTCAAACCCTGTCGTAAACACTAGCTGAAGCCAATGAATCTGCTTTTTCCATCACCAAATCTTGGTTCCTTTTTAGTCCCCTACCGGTGAAACCGGAGGGGACTATAGGTTTCCTCTGAGTCTGTCCGTACGTCCGTCCGTCTGTCTGTCTGTCCGTCTGTCTAGCTGTCCCTCTGTCTGTTTGTCAGTCTGTCCCACTTGGTTTTCCGCACTTTTTTCCTAAACGCTTGCAGATATTGAGCTGATTTTTGGTATGTGAGTGTATCTTGATGAGTTACAGATAAAGTTTGCATTTCGTTCCGCTTCATTGATTTTTGGCGGAATTACGGCCTTTTCAATTTTTAGGGGTTTTCCGCAATTTTCTTCTAAATGCTTTCAGATATTGCGCTGATTTTTGGTAAGCCACTTTACCTTGATTAGTTATAGGTCAAGTTTGCATTTCGTCCCGCTTCATTGATTTTTGACGGATTTATGGCATTTTCAATTCTTAACGGGAACCAGATTACACTTGCCGGTAGGGGACTAGTATTGCTAATGCAATACTCTCAGAATGCTTGTTCAACAGAAAAATACCACCACGCTACATGTGTATTTCAACAAACATGTATTACATACTTTGTTCTTTTCTTCTAACGTAAAGTAGTTCTTGGTGAGTTCCAGACATCTTCTTGGTGAGTTCCAGACATATACCCAGGTAGTCCGAAATATCTGACGTTTTCCTGGCTTTTTTAACGATTTGATATTTTACGTGCCCGTTTTCCTGGCACGTAAAATATCAAAACCGTGAAAAAAGACTGGAAAACTTCAGATATTTCGGACTAATACCCAGGACATGATTTATCCCCTTCCTGTACCACAAAAGGTGATACCAACGTTAACCCCATCTCTTACATCAATTTTCATATCAATCTCGTCTCTCTCTCCAAGCCCTCTTTCTTCTTTATGCGTTAATCCCTTGCCCTTTCTATGGCACCATAGAACTTGGTACTGTTGTTTATGTCATAATTCTTTGAATGATTTATTTATAAGAAAGCAGTGTGTTTACGTCCAACGTTCAAAGCGGATTAATGAAGAACGTCCTTGAAAATAAACCAAAGCATTATAATGGTCACTGTGCACTTGTGTGGTAAAGTATCGAGTTAAATTTTAAGATTTATTTCGGTATTTTCGAAATTCAAACAAATAGATAATTTATTACATTATCTGCTTGAATAGTGATATTGCAATTTAGCACTGATATGGTCTAGGAAATCCTTAATATTTATGGCACTACTTCTTAAAAGAGAGGAGAGTAAGACAAAAGACCGTCTCGCCATTTCGTGTCCTTTGATTTAGTGTCACTTGAGTCCGGCTATTATATGTTTTCTCCTTCGGGAGGACACTCAGGTTAACTGTCCATTTTTATGACTAGCTATCCAACACAAAATTCGTTTGGGGGGAAAACTTTACGACCTTCGTTTTAAGGTATCTTTATTGTCCCCATCACCTAGAGGTCCTACGATTTACATTCATCTCTTGTTCTGAATAATTTGCATCGTGTACCTCCAACTTTAGGTGTTATGTAGTGCTGTACTGGTAGATCAGTATTTTGGATTAAGACTTAATTACGAGTTATCTGAATGTACACATAATGGCAATCATATATGACATATAACCGATTGTTAATCTTACCTCTGAAGTCAATATACTGCCATCGACTCGCAGAGCCAATACGCCATTCCAAGAAACAGCCACATAAAACAACACCACAATGGTCAAATTAAAAACTGTGTCCGCCATTTTTAGTATCTATGTATAAAAAATATAACATCACCCGAACAATTTAACAATCCCATCAACTATTCCTCGAATGTTTTGTATACTATAAACCTATAAAATCATACTTTATTCCGTAGGATCACGTAGAATCAAGTATTTTACCATGGATTATTCCAAACACTAACGTGTTTAGGCGTTAAATGTTATTAAAGGTAGAATGGCATTATCGATTTGTGCTTTTGGGACTGAATGGGGTTCCCACAGGTGAAAATCGATTGGCTGGGTGGAATAACCCAATATACAAATTAGAAAAATCTCTTAATCAATAAATCCTTTAATCTTAATGAGTTCGGTATGAAAATGACATTGTTGCTCTTCATTTCCATTAGACAAAAGGGAATTAAGACTTTTCTCACACACGCACATTCATTTATAATATTAATACTAAACAGTTCAGAAAATTAAAATACCATACTTTTGGTTATTTATGAAATGTGGACAGGTGTTAGCTAGCTTTGTTATCTAAAAGAGGGGAAAATTCAGAATTTTTGTCATTTAAAAATTTTTAAACTTTCATAGGCAGATTGTAAATGTAGGACAAATATTTATTATTCTAATTTCCTAAAAATTATTAGATGTACCTCACGAAAAATTACCCTCTGGGACCCCATTAAAAAACCCTTTTAAATTTGATACACATTATGCAGTCTGTGTAATCATGCATCCATACAATTCCAATCACGAAAATATATGTTTTGAAATGGAGCTTTTTAAAAAACAGAAAATCTCCACGGAGTCTACCGCTCATCAAGACTTAAAGAAGTATAAAAAGAAAGTGCACGGAAAGTTATAATCGATCTGCTATACGATGCATCAAAAATTGAAATGCATGTACATGTACTTAGTTGAATTAAAGCTCAAGTTTGGTAGTCTACGTATACTGGGGACATTTTTAACCTTTGTGGTGGTCAATCAACACCTCATTAAAAGGCTAAATATAGAAAAAAGGAACAAGAACGAATAAAACAATTTATTGGAATGAAAATCATGGTCATATAGATATTTTTAATCAGACAAGAAATAAATAGCAACAATCTCCAAACCCGACTGAGATGGACTAGAGACACTGTTGATGTGTATATGGGGAATATAAAATAAAACATGGAAATCCAACATTGAAACTTAACAATCAAGTCTGTTTATATATTATATTTACACCTCATGTGAGTAATACAATGTCTTGGTCAATTTAGTTTCACAATTTTTTTTAAAATTGATAACTATGATAAAATACAAAACAGAAATACAATATGTTATTGATACAAAGGATATATCATTGCTTAAAAGAACTTCAGAAAATCACAAGCAACAACAGAAAGAGGGCATGTATAAATACAAAGAAAAACAATGTATACAGATAATACTTCTTAATGTAGGACGGAATTAAAAGCACAAAATCAAAGATTTGTAAATGTAATGTAAAAAAAGTCCATTAAAAAAAATCCCATAACAAAGGTAAACAATGGAAAAGAATACAACTCCACAAAAAAACTGTAAAAAAAGGCATGCCCTGTACAGTTCCAAAAAAAAAATAATTTTTCCTTAAATCATTGCTAATTTATCATCTGGAACAATGAATACTTAAAAATATTCCTATGAATATAGCTGCAGTATGTTACAGCATTCATTTACATGTACCAGCTATCTTTTAAGAATTTACATTTTGTTTCAAATCAAATCAAGAATATACATTAATATGACAAGCATTGGTGAGTACAAACTTGACCAATTAATTTGACCAATCACACAAGACTGTGATTATTATAGACTTTGGTAACACCTGCCCAAATAGTTTTCTAGGAAATACATGATTCATTGTTTCTTATTTTTTCCCAGTGAGAAATTTCCAAATAAAATATCAATAAACAGGCATTTAAGAAATGGATAATGGAAAGTATCTGTATTCCCATTTTTCAACATATATTGCTTTCTCATTAAAAATTGCAATAAGCAGGCCATATTGTGTTTGTTGTACATTTATTTTATAGCTCATCTGAGTGACTCTCTGTACAATGAACTACTAGTGATAGGCTAACAATGTACAGCCATCAATTCTCTCTCTGATGATAAATCAGCTTTACTATTCAGGTAACAACGTTCTTAAGAGCAGTCTCCTTTTTAAATTACACAGCTTTTCAATAATACCTTTAGTGTTAACATATAATCAAAATGTCTATTTTTCTCCAATGGTGAAGAGGGCAGCCGTTCCTTGAGGTGAGGAAGGTTCCGAGGACATGTCTGACCCCAGGGATGTAGAGGTCATTGTATTACGCCTAATAGGTGGCAGCACTGCTCCGCTGGGTCGACGTACGATATTATCACTATGTCGTCTAGGACTCTGAAGATTTAATCAGAAATTTGCATGGATACTGCATATTATGAGGAAGATACTTTTGTGAAGGTTCTCAATTTCATAATAATTGTTTGCCTTGGACTTGCAACAAATTTGATTTCCTCCAAAAGTAATATTTGTACAATATACCTACCATAACAGTATTATAAGAAGGAGGAGCAGCATTCTCTACTTTGATAGTAGAGTCTGGGAATTCGCTGAAGCTTTCATTGGGCACCAATCTGTCTGTACTGCGAGAGTTGGACGTTATAAAGAGGCCAGAGAAATCCGGGCCTTTTGAGTCAACAGAAGTCCTTCTACTCATGGAGTCTTCAGCATAGGGATGAGAACTGAAGCTGTCCAACTCACTGTCCCCTGTCCCCATTAACGACCCAATCTACACAGAGATAGGATATAATTTGTGTGTTATAATTAGATAGATACATGTACAAGAAAACCTCTTTCAAAGCAAGAACTCTACATCAGAATTTACATATAAAGATGGACAAGCTTTCAGCAGTTCTTGAAATCAACCTTATGACAGTGAATGATATAGACAAAATATAATAAAAGAAAACTTTTTTGGATCAATTACATAACTTTTATCCATTAAACAAACTATTTTGTCAAGGTACTTTTTGATGCGGGAAAATATAAATGTCATTTATCTGTGTACTACGTCATCAGTTTCAGAGAGGGGTGATATGGATTCAGAAAACCACAGTGTGGTGATCCGGAACGTCGGATCACACCATCACATGATTGCATTTCAACAGTAAAACTGAGTGACAAACAGTTGGGTATGTAATAAAGACAATGTACAACAATCCAACCTGTTTTTTTTTTTGTTTTGTTTTTTCCAATATGAAAGATTTTAATAAATCTTGCATCCAACCAAGTTGCAGATGAATGATAAATGTGACTATGTGACTGTTCAAAAAGATGGGTGAACAAGGCAGGCAAAATGCCTATAGTGCGACAAACATAAAGTGAAAAATAAAATCTCAATTATATAAAAATTTTCTTTGATATTTCATCTAACATTAAAGTATACTTTATGTAAAATCTCATCTTCGCTAGCCAAGGGTTTCTGATACGCTACTCTCCTCATAAGCCCTTGGCATACGGTGCTGACAAAAGACGGGATTGTTTTCGTCACATGATCACGGTTCTTACCAGGTACGCACAGATTGCGTCATCGACAGAAATAAAAAGCATATTTAAAAAAATAATGTTTTTAAAGAATAATTAACAAGAAGGTATTGAGCTATGTTATAATTAATTTGTTATTTAAACATGTTAAAATGCAAATCTACATCTTCAGTATTGATTCTTAATCACATATTTTGCACGTAGCTTAAGATATTGGTTGGCACCATATAGCTATTCATAGAATGGCATGTTATCTTACGGATCGTTGTTTACTTGCGTTTTTCATCCTCGATATTAAAGAGTCCAGAAATATCCCGAACGCAAATATCGTCATTTACAAAAAACAATTGCTGATTGGTCGAACGATGTCGATCAACTCCAATCACAACTTGAGAAAAAAATCCCAACTTTTTTTAACACCGTATGCCAAGGGCTTATGAGGAGAGTAGCGTATCAGAAACCCTTGGCTAGCGAAGATGGTAAAATCTCTACAATTAACAAAAAACTCACAAAGACTGAAACAAGAAGTCTGTGAGCCAATGCTCACTAATAATACCCCCGCTTTGATGCGAATACACAAGTTCAGTTATGAACAAACACAGTGATAATCAGGAAATTGACATCAGATTTGTAAAAAAAATGAATCCCAACATTTGGCCTAAACAAAGATTGTGCTAAAATTTCAAGCATCTGCAATGAGTAGTTGCTGAGAAACTACGACCAAAATTTGTTATGTATGGTATGGACAGATGCACGGATAAACAGGAAGTTGACATCGGATTTGTACCAAAAATGAATCCCGTTATATGGCATGCCTATATAAAAAAAGATTGTGCTAAAATTTCAAGCATCTGCAATGAGTAGTTGCTGAGAAAACTACGACCAAAATTTGTTAGGTATGATACGGACAGACGCACGGATAAACAGGAAGATGAAATCGAATTCATACAAAAATGAATCCCACCATATGGCATGTCTAAACAAAGAGTGTGTTAAAATTTCAAGCACCTGCAATGAGTAGTTGCTGAGAAAACTGCAACCAAAGTTTGTTATGTATGGTACAGACAGACGCACGGATAAACAGGAAGTTGACATCGGATTAGTACAAAAATGAATCCCACCATATGGCATGCCTAAACAAAGAGTGTGTTAAAATTTCAAGCACCTGCGATAAGTAGTTGCAGTGATTTTTTTTGTTTTTTAAACCACCACCCCCTCCTTTTGAATTGGGAAAAATTAGCGACATTTTCCTCAAATTGGGAAAAATCATTTATAGTAAATTAGAATGCCAAAAATTACATAAAATAATCGAACATAAGTAACAACAACAGTTTTTGTTTGATTTTATCTCTAAACTTGATTTAAATTCATAAAATAATCATTTAAAAAAAAATTAACATGAATATTTTATTGAATGTGAACATGGCTTAAATATCAGTCACACCTTGTATCTATTTTCTTGGAATTGCTTTGTCTAATTTCATAAAAAAATGACCAGCATTTAGACTCATAATTTAGTAAACTGTCTTATATTGGTAATCAAGTTTACAGTCTTTACTGTTTGTTTGTTCCTTATTTTAGTGAAACCCTGTAGTGTTGACCATTTCCTGATATTAGCCTGGTCCTCTATGTAATAATGGCGGTCAAACCAAAATCATTATGTCAACATGCAACATGACTTGTGTCTGGGATCTATTTACCAATTCATTTAGGATTTTATAAGCTACTTATCTGCTTATATGGATATCTGCATTGTTTTACACATTCATTAAAAAATCGGCTGCATATGCATGGATTTGGAGAATAAAATTGAAGAATAATCAAAGTACTGAAAGTACTGAAAGCCGGGCTTTAATATTGATTGATTGATTGTATGTTGTTTTACGTCCCATTCGAGAATCTTTCACTCATATAGAGACGTCACCATATACCGGTGAAGGGCTTCAAATTTTGACCTTTACTCGGCACTCAGGGCCATTGAGCAGTGAGGGATCTTTATCGTGCCAACGCCTGCCGTGACACGGGGCCTCGGTTTTTAAGGTCTCATCCGAAGGACCCGCAACTTTCACTTCAAAGTGCCGAGCGCATGGCGAAGGAACAGTTGCTACCTATTTTTTATCGACTTAGGTCTGTCGCGGCCGAGATTCGAACTCACGACCTCCCGATCACGGAGCGAGCGCTCTACCGACTGAGCTACCGTCAACGGTCCGGGCTTTAATATGTTCGAGTGTATTGTCTAATCCTAAATAAGTACATATTTGAAAATCTTTCTTTCTGACCATTGATATTTAACAGGTAGAGTTTGTATGATTATGATTAACAATAACCCATCTACCAATAATTTACGTTCCAGAACCCAACGTTAAGACCCCAGGATAGGACTTGGTGATATTTTTAATGAAAATACATTTATACCTTTCTAAACATTAAGCTCACAATGGTTATGCATGGTAACAGTGCACTTTGAGTGGTTTTGCTGATTCATACAGGCACATATATAGTATTGGAGGAGCTAGGGGTGTCACCATTTTTCAAACATAAACTTTTACTATGGACAATGTTCATTGAATTATTAGGTTGATTGACTCTTCGCAATCAAATTTAAATTGGAACCTTCATCTCACTCTTCGTAATATAAACCAGGTATTTATCACGAGCGACGAACAGATTTACTAAAAGCAAAATGGATAATCTAATTTTAATTAGATTGTACCATCATTTTATTGTAGCATATTAAAAGTACGGCAATTGGGTAATGAATTAATGAAATTCGAAATGTGAAAGTAAGTCGTAGCCCACCCCTACTCCTTCTCCAACGGAATAGGATTTTCGGGTTTGGACAATTCTCCTTTTTTCTGATAATGATACTACATGCCTGTATTAATCAGAAAAGAAATATTCTTTATTTTTGGTCCTCTAGGAAACCAGCTGCACGAAAATTACAATTACCTAATCTTTATGACATGAATATGAGTCTCTAGAGTTCTAGTTCCAGGTTCGGCCATAATGGTCATTGCCTGAGAAAATCATGATGTATTCAGGTCTTTATGGCTCGTACATAGATGGCTCTTCATTCTGAACAGGAAGTTTTGAAGCAAAGACTAACCAACTTTTTCTGAAAAATTATAATGTGTTGTATTTAGATAAAGACTAATGAACATTTTTATATGTTGTTTTCTTTTAATTATATATTAACATAAACGATTTTTATTTCCCAGCACCCTTGACAGCTTGCATGTGTTTTAAGACTTTTTTTTTGGAATGCGCGCGCACGCTCAATATACTGTAAAGCGCTTTGGGAGCACATGCGAGATGAATCCAAGGTGAGAAGTCTCGAACAAAATTTTCACATTCAAAACATACCATTGACTTTTCACTAAAAATTTGATCTGAATTTGTAAGCATAAAATTTTTTTTCGACGCTAAATTGATTGTTAAATGGGTATAAATAATTTATATATTATACATAAACATATTCACATGAAATTTCTATCTTAAAGTTTACATTTTTATTTATTTATATTCCATGCTTCACAGAATATAAATCTTTATCCCAGTCATTTAAATTAATACTATTAAATTAAAATATTAACCAAATGGAATCGCATTGTTTATTTCATATTATGAAAGAAAACAAATAGTTTTGAACTTCATTTACATCACCTTTACACAAGATCTTAGTCGCTCGCGTGGCGCAGTGGTAAGAACGTCTGCTCTAGAGTCGCGAAGTAAGGAGTTAATCCTTATGTTGCGGGTTCGAATCCCACTGTGGGACGTGGAGACCGGTCCTTCCGTTGAGACCGTATAAACCGAGGTCCCGTGTCGCAATAGGTAATTGCACGAAAAAGATCCCTCACTGCTCAATGGCCATAAGTGCCGAGTATAGGACAAAATTTGGAGCTCTCCACCGGCAAGTGGTAGTGTCTCCATATGAGTGAAAAAATTCTCGAGAGGACGTTAAACAACATACAAACAAACAAACACAAGATCTTAACCATCATAAAGATTTTTGTTCGAAATTATTTATTAGAAAGGAGAAAGTTATTTTAATTGCATTCAGGGTTATCGAAGTAATACCGTATTTTCAAACCCTTTTCTTTAAACGCATTCAAATTTTAACTTTTTTATTTGAGTAGTAATATATTGAAAATATTACAGCATTACTAGTATTACAACTGTAAGATTTTTACATACATATATCATTAGGCTAAAAAAAATTTGTTTGTTTCCGGTTATACCCGACTG